TCCCTTCTCTGATGTGATGGAGAGTTTTGTTAGGATGTAAAAATCAGTAATTTGGCTGAGATTTAAAGGAGAGTGGGGTCGATACAAAAGCATTAAAGTCCAAGCAGCTCACGCCACCTTACTCTTACAAGTTCTCTTTTGTGGGACTTGGTACAGCTCAAAGCGGTGGAAATAGGCAGCAAGAGCAGTTGTTAGTAAGAAGCAGCAATTTGCTGCTCTGCCTTACTTTGAGTATGTGCATAACAGTTTGTCAGCGGGAAGCACGCTGGCCTGTTTTAACATGGAGCGGCCGTGACACCCTGGCTGCTGCCTCGTAGACTCCTGTTCTGACTCCAAGTCTTGGAACCCGGGCAGTGAGACAGAGTGTAACTTGTAGGCTACTTTTGCAGACTTTGAGCTGAGTGTTGAAGAAATCAGTAATAACAGAAGGAAAATCACATTTTCTTCTTACCTTGAATTATGTTCAAATTAGTACATGAGAAATAGGAGTTACTTTAATACTCACTGTTATGGCAGAGTACGTGTTCTAATCAGCAACGCCCTGCTGCCCATCATCTCTCTAGTTCTGCTAGAGAGAATCTGTGTTACGAAGTATGTAATAGGTGTTACAAAGTACGTAATAGAAACAGTAATTGTAACTAAAAATGATTTATTAAAAGTTTCTCTAGAGATTACATATTTTTGGCATCATACCAGAGATGATGCAGAGAGGTGGGGGTTGGTCTCTTCTCCCAAGTGACAGGACAAGAGGAAACAGCCTCAAGTTGTGCCAGGGGATGTTTAGATTGCATGTTAGGAAAAGTTTCTCCAGCTAAAGGGTTTTCAGGCATTGGAGTGGGCTGCCCAGGGAAGTGGTGGAGTCACCATCCCTGGAGGGATTTGAGAGACGTGTGGACGAGGTGCTGAAGGATACTGTTTAGTGGTGGTGTTAGCAGTGCTGGGTTAATGGTTGGGTTTGATGATCTTAAAGGTCTTTTCTAAGCTAAAAGATTCTATAAAAATAAAAAAAAGGTTGTATATGATTCCCTTTAGTTGTCTGGGACTTGAGTGGAGGGTAGGTCAGGTGTCTGGTTTTAAAGAAACTAGATGAATTACAGAGACCTAATCATGGATTGTGAGCTTTGTTTCAGGAATAATTCAGGGCAGAATGTTAGTCCCTGTAAGGTCTGTATTTAGTTTGCTGCTAAAGCTGGATGTTGTACGGCAGTGAGACAGAGGATTACATGTGAAAAGGGGGTGATAGATGGTCAGGGGTAGTTGAAAGATCCCAAAAGAATTTCATTCTAGTCATATCTGAAACAAAAAAAGTTCCTCATGGCAGTTTGAAAACTAAAAAAACCAAAATAATCAAAATTCAAAGCTTTCACTGAAAGTCTTTCAGTCCCGCATTTTTCAGTCACTTGTCTTGAGTCTTAAAACCTGTTTTGCAGGTGATAGATGTGATATGAATTTAGTAAGTCATTGAAGGCCAAATCTGGAAAGGAATTTAGGTCGGTTTCCTAAATCTTCTAGGAGTTGGGCTGCTAACACATTAACAGACCTTGTCTTGAAGCAGTAGAATGAAAATGATGTGGAAATAAATGGACACTCCCCCCCATCCCCCACCCCCAGTATGTGTTTAATGCAGAGTTTAGATAATACAGAATTAATGTATGGCAAATATTAAGCTAAGGGATGTGCTTCATTAATTATCTGCTTGGTTAATACGCATTTTCAGCATAAAGAACATCATAAAATAGATAAAATTAACACAAGGGGTTCAGGTTGAAGTGGAATAGGTTGTTCTAAGACATGTATTGCCTAGCTTTTTTTGGTTGGCTTTCCTAACTATAACCTTCTTTAATAAGATTTTCAATGCAGTTTCACTAGGGGTAATAGGTATGACAGTGTAGGGATTCAGTTGGCCCAGAGGCTAAAAGGAATATAGTGTCATGTAACCCTTTTCTTTGGTCATGATGGATTTTCTCTGTTATATATTACTAGCACGTTTTTTCTGTCTAGTGCAAATAAATCAAGAAACAGGTCTCATGTTCTGTGTGTAAATGTCACTGGCTGTTCTTCAAATGATTGAATTTGCTTTTTGCTGTTTCACTGTTTTAATAAATTGCTCTTTTTAAGTATTGAGCATACTTCATTTGCAGCCTTCACAAAATGTGTTTTTATTTTGTTTTCCCCATTTCAGCTGTCATTTAGATGTTGGTATGTAAAGCAAAATGGCAAAAATCAACACCCAGCACTCCTACCCTGGCATGCACAGACTGTCTGTCAGAACTACCGATGAAGATATAGAAAGGCTTGAAAATGGCTGTGTCAGGTAAGGTATTCCTTTCAGCACAGTCAAGAGGGCAGATTGCTGTGTAATTTGTGGCACTCATCTAGCTCTGCGTTATGGGGGTGTTGCAAACGTGATATTGTTGACCCAGTGGGCTTAACAATGTCAAGTCACTTAAGTACGGAAGAGGCAACAACAGGAAGGTTGTCATGCCTTGCAGCTCTGGAACAAGAATCTGTATTACCTCAGGAATAAGCCCCATTTTCACATCAGTGGGAATTACACTCAGTCATTAAGGAGAAACTTCTTTCTCCCGTCACCATGCAGATAGCAGGTTCTTTGATTCCCAAGGTGTCTGCAGGATTTGGAGGAAAAAGGATCCTCCCAGTGCCTGCAGCGATAAGCCTCGGGAAGTTTTTTGAAGGTGGCTTCTGCACATTGCCTGGTTCCTGTGATAGGGAACATTGTACTGTATAAAGAATATGGGTGGTTTTGTACTGGCTTTTCAGAGCCTCTCGCTGCACAGTGGAACTGCGAGGGTTTCGTTTCATTGACCTTTCTCTGTTTTGATACTTTTAAAGGGGCTGTTTAAGACGTGCCAATGAGCTTGCACTGAACATTTTACGTGGTACCGGTCATTCCTCTGACGTGGGAAAACCCTGCTGGGTCTGCAGGGAAGTCTACCTGTACAGACTGGAAAAGGTGTTAAGCTTTTGGCTTGTTACAGCCAACCACCTCTGCTGTGTGGGCCTGCTCAGACTGTCTCTTGCTGTTCAGATGTGTACCCAGACTGGAGCACTCAGAATGCTGCTGGGCTGATAGGACTGCCTGCGTTACCATGATTTCAGATTGCCTGCCCCTAGCATCTAGTACGGAAGAAATCCCTGTCCTGTTTGGTCTTTTATTCTTTTAATTCTTACTGCTTTGCTTGCATGATGCCTTCTATCATGTAGGTGTAGCTACACTCATGGAAACGGAGCGGCTGTTACTCTGCGCACTATGGCTTCCTTGACTTGGTTATACTACCCCATCCGCGGTCTCCTTAGATTTGCAAGAGCCCTTTGTCTCCATTTACAGTGATACCTCAGGAACAGGGAAAAACACACATCCACACAAGCCTCTTCCTTTCCTTTTCTTAATGTCCTTTTTGTAGAGGATATCAGTGATTGGCAGCTCACAGAATGGAATTACTGGCATGGATGTGAGAGTGTGGTTATAAAAATTTAAATGCAGAATTAAATCACTATGCACATCTGCAGTTTCAGAAGCAATGACTTGCTTATGACAGATAGAAGGACTGAAATATGAATTACACTTGTTCATGATGATGATGCTGGTCTTGAAGAGCCATTTATTTAAAAGAAAGTTTGCTGTTATCAGCATTAATTACAGGAGCTCATAGATAAGTAAAAGGATACAATCTCACTCTCCAAAACAGGTCTCATTTAAGGTTTTTGTATTGCTGAAGTGAGTGCTAGTGATTATATGCAATACATTTCTAATACCACTCAAAGAATTGTGGTACACTTTTTTTTTTTTTAATTCAAATTTGGTTTAGAATATGTCTATACCAAAAGATGGATCCTATCCAAAATTTTAGCCTTCCGTAGTCTTGTAGCAAAATATACAACTATAGACATCAGAAAAGATATGTTTTGTAAAGTAGCAGCATTTCTCCTTTGCCTTTATCTTCCTCCAACTCCTGTTGGCTATAGTTCAACAAAGCAATTAAGCACATTACTTAGTTCTCATTAAAGTCAGTGGGTGTTAAATTTATGCTTAAGGCTAAGGATGTGCTTAAGTGCTTTTCTACTGTGGAACAAGGTATTACCAAGGAAAAGCATTCACTGAAACAGTTAACAGAAAGCTGCTGGTGATCTTTAAGCTGTCGTTCTCGGTTATGCTGGAGTAGGTGATTCATGTGCCCATATTCTTACAGCGTAGTTTATCTATTTTGTTTAAACAAAAGTCAACAAAACACAAAAATAACAAATGAGTCATCATTTTTAAAATCCAGACTCTGTACAGAAACAGCTCGAACAGGACGGCACATTAGCTTGTGGATACAGGCTGGCTGTCTAAAAGTTGGAAGCAGGATTCAACTGTGCCTTGCAGACACCTGGATTTCAGTGTCCTTATGTGAGTGAGTGTCTAAGTTCCTGCTGTCATCAGCGGAGACGCAGTGGGTACTGATAGTCAGTCGGTGGAGCCTAGGGAACTGTTCAGCTCACCCTGAAGCTGAATAGCTAGCTCTTCAGGCTTGTTTGGCTCCGTTGATTATGAGGGGTATTTAGATGCTAAAATAGGCATGTAAAGCTATTTGGGTATCTGAAGCATTTATCTGGGGCTACTGGGTATGAGGTGAGACCCGTGTGTGCTGGGGAGGTCAGATAAAGTATTTTGAGGTATTCCAAACCGTACTAGACTCCTATATTGAGGCAACTGAATCAAGCCCTAAGATGGCAATTTACTATAATGGGAACTTAGATACTCAGCTTACATTAGACACCTTAATTTAGGTTACTGCCATCTGGAGCCAAATCCTGCCCTTGGAATCTGGCTCATAGTAACTCAAAAGGGCTTCACCAATTCCTGTTTAACTGATCAGAACTTCAAAAAAATTACTACTAAATGAAAATTCTGGATTATTTGCATGCATTTTAGGTGAAAATGGTCTTTTAGGGTTTGCTTCAAGATCTTTATGCAAATCTAGAGCCAAATGAAGGCAAGGCAAGGGACAGATACAGAGCAGGTCCTGATGTAAGTATCCTTCCCAGAGCTTACTCCACTGGGTATCTCGAACGCATGGGAATAAACTGGCCTTCAGAGACCTGAAGAGAGGAGTGCATGTTTCCTTCCTTGAGGCATGGAGCAGAAACCTCAGTGTTATTGAGTTTTCTCTAAGATATAGAGATGCTGCCTACTCCTCTGGACATAAAATATTCTTCAGCACGATAATCCGCTGATATTTCTGCTTTGTAACCTGCTTTCTATTTCTTGGCACACTGCATATTCTTGTCTTGATTTCAGAGTGTGTAACACCCTTGGATAATGACGGCAGTGGCCATCAAACACGGCTGTATCAAAATAGAACATCACACGGTGTTGATTGTATTTCAGTATACTTAGAGAGGCTAATAAAATTGAGCTAGATCTTCTTCTGAGACCAGGAAAAGTCTGAGTGGCCCAATTTCCTGGTCCTGACCTCCGTGCAGGGTTTTCTGAGGCTGACAAAGAATGCACTCTGACAATCTTTGCGACCCTTATATTTAGTTACCTGTATTTAGAGCAAATATAACAACTTAATGTACATTCACTAAAAGCATTTGAGGTACTGCAACTTAGTGAGATACTGTTAATTATCTGGGCACTGATTGAACACAAACTTTTAATCCATCCAAATGTGAAAAAAAAGATACTGGCCTAAGCCTTCATGAAAGGCTATTTCTGCAAAATATGTTTTTTTCGTATCTGAATTGTGACAGAATAATTTTCTAAGAGCTCCCACTATTTTATTTTAAAAATGTATTTTCAGGATTCAAAAATATAAGTAATTGGTAAGTGAGATCAGAAATAGCAATATTAGAATTTACTGCTGTCGAAGATCACACCAAATGTATATTTTTCTGTAAAAAGGAATGAAAGGACTTAAAAACAGCTATAGCAGTGCAGTTTAAAAGACTGACCACTCCAGTATCCTTTCTCCAGCAGGACTGTAGGCAGATGCCTCAGGGGAAAAAAAAAAAAAAAAAGGCAGGCAAACTACAAGTATCTGCAGCATACTTTCCTCTGATACTCTCCCAGCATCCAGCTGAGGAGACTTCTTGAGGTGGATGCGGACTCTGTGTTATCTGGTAATCCGTAATGGATTTCTGTTTCCATGAGTTTGTTCATTCTCCCCTAGAATCCATGCTAACTTTGGCAGTGAGAAGATGCTCAACACCCACAACATAAACTAGGTTATAAAAGTTTTTCAGTACTAAGCAGTGTCTATTGGTCTATTGGTGTCTTCTTATTAGAAGAGAAGAAAGCAGTTAGCAGGTTGAGAATTCTGGGAGTGGCAGGACCTATCTTTTTAGCATGGTCCTTTGTCTAAAAATAATGAAGTTTTAATTCTCCGTTTGGTAGTTTCTCAGCTGTGAGTACACACAAAATTGAGTTGCTAATTCTCCTTTTGTGGGCATCCAGAATGCTGTTGCCAGTTCTTATGAGGCTGGAAAGTATCATTATCCTCAGTCTTTTCCTGGCAATACAGATTAATAGAACCACTGGAGAGTTCTGGTTTGCATTACAGAGGGGAAAAAAGTGATCCTTGATGAATGTGACAAAGCACTGTAAAAGGGAGTACTAAAAAAGGAAAACCACAGTACAAAACAATGCTAGTGAGGCCTAGTGAAGTCCAGGTTCCAGTGAAGTCAGTTTCAAAACGCCATTGCACAGATTCACAGAGTGGTAGGGGTTGGGAGGGATTACTGAAAGATGAGGCTAAAACTTCATCTGTTTTTCTCAAATGCTAATGATTTCAGTGCTAGTAAGTAGTCACAGGAGCTGGCTACCTGCACATAGCTTAATGTGATAATCCCTGTCTGCAGCTGTGGGCACCTGGGCTGTGGTGGTGTTTTCCGTGGGTGGCAGTAGCCTGGGAGGCTTCCCCTCATGGCTGCCAGAGCGGCCCTGGAGACCTGTGGTCTGCTCTGCTGTGCAGTAGGTGAAGTTTCCATCCTAATGCCAGCAGTTGTGCTGCTGGCAGCAACAGGCTGGTGGGAACAGCCGTGGTGCTGCTCAGGACTATCATAGAATCACAGACTGGTTTGGGTTGGAAGGGACCTTAAAGACCATCTAGTTCCAACCCCCCTGCCATGGGCAGGGACACCTTCACTAGACCAGGTTGCTCAAAGCCTCATCCAGCCTGGCCTTGAACACTTCCAGGGATGGGGCATCCACAAGTGCTGTAAAACCCCCATCTTCCTTTTCAATCCAGGCAAGAGGGAAAGCAAAGAGATATGGGTGTTTGCTTTGAGTCATAGAAAGGAACCGCACTGGTAGAAATTCCACACTCTTAAACCCAAACAATGTCTAGGAGAACACCACCAACTAAAGCAGTGGGCAGTCACTTTATAGTCCCGTGGGGATGAATTCCACGTTGAAGGAGAGCTGCTGATGCCTTACAGGAGGAGTTAGAGTGGAAAACATACTTCCCACTGCTGTGTATCTGCACACCAGGGTAGTACTGACCAGTAAGGAATCAGCTCTGAGCTTGCTGGAACAGACAGCAGAGCCTCTGCTGACTTAATTTTGTGTTGGATGGCTCCAGAAAAGTAGGAATGTAAGCTTAGCTCTGTGTTTATCACATGTATGCCAGATTACTAGGAAGAGGACAATTTGCTGCCTTGTTTCCTGATGTAGTGGTGGAAAGAATCAGGTGGGGGAGAGTCTGCTGGAGGCTGTATGGAATTTATTTTTTTTAAATGGCTTTTGCAGGACCCATTCACTGTGTGAGGATGCATCTTCAGAACTGCAGAGAGTCATTTCGGTGGAGGGCAGACATCTATCTGAATCCCAGACAAGCTCATTCACAGGCAGGGGAGCAATGGCAAGGTAATGTGCTAATACCATTTCCAGTATTACGTTTAACTTGTTGAAAGAATCTGATCACAGTTTGGAGGCAAAGTAAGAAGAACCATCACTTTCCGAAGAAAACGGGTGGAGTGCAGCTGAAGAAAGTCTTTAAAAAGTAACAAACTACTTTTGACCTTGATTCTGAACTCATCACTTACTCGTTGCTAATAAAAATCTTAGAATCCTAGAGGTGCTGAATGAGCTCACACAGATTAGTCTGAATAAAAAAAAAATTACATAATCACATCTAAAAATACACAACTCTGAGGAAATGCATGAACTGAGTCCAGACTGTAAAGTAAATGGACAAATGTCCGGTTCTGGCTGATGGCTGATGCAATGTTTGTTTCCCATCAAATAAGACACAATGATTTTTCCCGTGTTGGTAAATGGCTCTGGCAAGTGAAGAGACAGGGAATAATGGATTGGGATCCTTAGTCAGCAAAATTCAAGTCAACCATTTGCTTGAGTCATTTACATTACTGGGACTTAAACTTACACAGAACTCTTCAGATCCCATGGTTACACACAATACAGACCATACGTATTTTAACTTACAAAACTAGAGTAATTTAAAGAGTGTTGTTTACACTTTAGCCTTTTAGTTGGTGGAGAATAAACCTGTATTCCCCTGTTTGGTTGTCACATAGTGACACCACTGCGTGTAGATTACAAAGTCTGCAAGAAGTTGATTTTAGGTGGAAAACATTTATAGGTGTGTGCTTTGTGTAAACATATAGCACATGAATATATAAACTAATGGAGAACTTCCTTTTTAATCTTTGTTTATGTTGTTCTTTACCCTTTTTCAGGATAGCTTGAATTACATGTGTGTAGCTACAGTTCCTTATGCTCTGAATACACAAGGAAGCCTGTGATGAAAACATGAATGCTTAGCAGTTTAAATATTACAGTAACACAGAATGTCTCGAATGCAAATTCTCAAGGACCTAAAACAACAGCCTCTGATGGACTTCACTGAATATCTTACTTTGAGATGTAAAGGACAAATAAGATAAAATAATATAGCATGACAAATCAGAAAATTGTATTTTTTTGTTCAGAGGCTCTCAATCTCAATTGGCAAAATCTGTTTGCTCCTTAACTAACAGGTCTCATCAAAATGCTTTATTTTCTGATGTAAGTTAGAACATCCATATTCGTAGTTTTCCATACCACTCCTTATGTGAAAGGTGAGTTTTGCTCGGGCAGTGAGAAAAATTCTCTAGCTTGATTTTATGCAGCCTTTTTGGAATAAAGTGAGGAATCAATTAAATAATCTTAGACTTTTATGTGGACCTTTGATTTTCTTTTGTGGTTTCGATACTCTTTGAATTCCCTTAACTGTTGGAAATTGTGGATTATTTATATGATTCTATCTTCATAAGGTGCTGAACAGCTAGAAATATATTTTTCTAATTTCTGATATGTGTTATTATTCCTGCCTTATTGTCCTTCGTATTTCATGGTAAGAGAATCTGGGCTAGATCTATGATGAAGTGTAGTTAGGCCCTTGAGAACTGCAATCAAGAGGCATTTACCATAAAATTTACATCCATAGAATCACAGACTGGTTTGGGTTGGAAGGGACCTTAAAGACCATCCAGTTCCAACCCCTCTGCCATGGGCAGGGACACCTTCCACTAGACCAGGTTGCTCAAAGCCTCATCCAGCCGGGCCTTGAACACTTCCAGGGATGGGGCATCCACAGCTTCTCTGGGCAACCTGTGCCAGTGCCTCACCACCCTCTCTGGGAAGAACTTCTTCTTGATATCCAATCTAAACCTCCCCACTTTCAATTTAAACCCGTTACCCCTTGTCCTGTCACTACAGGCCCTTGTAAAAAGTCCCCCCCAGCTTCCTTGTAGGCCCCTTCAGGTACTGGAAGGCTGCAGTAAGGTCTCCCTGGAGACAAATTGTTCATGTCAACCTTATTGTGGATTCTGAGCGTATGTAATGCCAGCTGGTGAGAATGTAAAGAACTTTTCTTGAGTGGCCCAAGGTCTCTGGAAGAAGTTAAGCATTGTTCAGGACTTCATTATGCTGTTTTTGAGGCCAAGTTTGGGAAATCTGAATTAACGCTACTTTTGTCCAAGCTAGACTACTGATAGGAAATAATACAATATATTAGGTGGGTAATCTCTATAATCACTTTTGTAGATTCCAGTCTCCATTATTTTCAGTTTTTCAGAAACAGGTTTCCTTTTGAAGTTTGACAGAAAATATGGTAAGGATTTGTAATGTGAATTAGTAGATAAAGACACATAATGATACAGTGATAAATTAATTATGGTGTCATGACTTTTTGCTTATCTCAGTGCTTAGCTAAAAATTCAGGATGATGAAATAGTGCTTCCTATGCAGTAGGGGGGTTTATGTCTGCAGACAGACCCTTTGAAATCACCGGGAGGTGGCTGAATTTTTATCCTTCCTTATTTCAAAGACCATCCTCCCTCATCAGGTCCCACTTTTGTTTCCACTGTGTGTACCGGCCCTTGAACATGTGATCCTGTGAGTATTTTATCTCCTAATTCTGTCAGTCCAGGATTCCCCCATTGTCACATGATGTCAGGAGTTGCTCAGAAGTCAGCTGTCCCACCACAGGCAGTTGGTTTGCCCCCACTTGGCAAGAATATTCTTCCGTTGCTCCTGCGGTGCTGGTACAGTGAACTAGGAACTGTTGTGTGAGATCCTTTCCTGACCCACTGCAAAAGGTGATGTATGAAACTGTGGGAAGCGACTGGGTTCACACAGTTAATCCATCATGTTTAATTTCATGGCAGTTGGAGAAGGTGAGAAAAATCCTTCTGTGCTACTCTTTGTGGGGGTGATTTACACCACCTGATGTTCTTGTCTGGTTCAGTCGATGTTGTATGTTTGTCCCATGCAGGCTATCGCGATTTGTCATATCCATGAGGTCGTGGGCCACAAGGCATTTGCACCATGAAGACCAAAGACCTGATTCTTTCCTAGAACGTATCCGAGGGCCAGAGCTCATAGAGGTGTCCAGCAGGCAAAGTAACATCCGCTCCTTTCTGGGTATCCGGGAGCGACCTGGGGGAGTAAACAGGTAAGAAGATGTGTTTGTACTTTAAACGAAGACAACTGAGGTTATGGCATTTTCTTGGCGATTATGATGTAAGTTTTATTTTAAGAAGAGGGTAAGGAGCTTAGCGTGGGAGATGAATAGACTATCTGATTCTGCCCAGGAATCTTCACATAACTGAAGTATTATGGCTTTCAGCAGGCTTTCTCTTTCCCCCTCAAACGCACTGTGGCAAAGATCTTGAAGTAAAGGATTTTGATCATGCTGCTTCAGCCAGAAGGATTTCTCAGAAGTGGAATTTTATCATATGCTACCTGTGCAACTTGATGTTGCTAAACTCCTCTCTACTGAAGATGAATTCAATTGCTGTTTCAAGAGTCGAGGCTGGTGCTAGTTGTGGCTTTGGAGGACATCAGTGTTACGCACGTTACCTGCCACTGTTAGGAAACTCCAAACAAGCGGTTGTGCAAAATGTGGCATTGCATTGTTACACCTACGTACTCAGGGGTTCAGCTGCTAACATCGCAGAATGCTTCTGATGCAGAAATGAGAAAATCTTTCAGCTGCTGACTTAACTTACTAGCACATGCTCAGTCTTTGGTATGGAAGGCAGGTTGAGTCTTATCTTGAATTTTTTCCAATAAAACAACAGAGGCTTGCAAGAGAAACCATTACGTGTTTACAGTCTTTTGACTTGGTGACCATGTGATACAGTGTTTTAAATTTAACTCCAGCTAAAAGAGGAAAGTGAAGTCCCAAGACAAAAGTGGACTTTCTGTTTGGTGTTATGCTTTGAAGCGTCGACTCCCGTGTTTTTTGGCATAGTTGCAGATGGGTAGGTAAGCAAGTAAAAAGTTGGTTTGTTTCAAAATCTTGGCTAGTAATTCAGATTAAAGCAAGAACCTTGAAGGGCTGTGCATGATACATGGTGTGGTCCAGCACAGCGTTATGATCTTTACTTCATCTACTCTTTAGAAATTCAGCTTAAAAGCACATTTTGTTAAATTATCCAGACTGGTGTCTGATTTTTCAGACATCTGCATCAGTAGCAACTGCAGGTTTGTAGTAATTAGAGAGGATCCTGGGCCAGCAAACCTCTATACAAAGCTATGAAAAGAAGTGCATTTGGGAGTATCCATCCTTGCCTTCTTAGTTTTACACTGTTGCCATGTGACAGTGACTCCCAGTTGTTCTATCATGAAGGCTTAATTCTGCAGCACTGGTAGGTGTGCTTGTTACTTATCCACAAGCCTTGACACTGCATCTGTGAAGAAGACTTGAAAGGATTGAAGAAAGCTTAAAGTAGTAGGCAAATGAGTACAGGGCTAAAAATAACGAGATGCATGTTGCCATGCACTAATACGCCTGAGAACAAGCCTCCGACATCAGATGTGGTCACAAATGTGTATGTCAAGCACATGGTAAAAGGAGACTGCTGCCTTGAAATAGTTATGCAAAGGGGCTTATCACTGCAGTCAAAGTTGACCTCCCTAATCTCATCAGTGCATATGTGAGAAGCTAGTAAGTCAGTCCGTCATGTCGGTAAACACGTGTATGAAATACCAACAGTCTTTACACTCTTTAATGTGTTTTATTTAACTCGCTGCAGTCGCTGGCCCTTGGCCAGGTTTAACATCAACTATAGCAACAACACCAACGAAGAGTAAGTACCGATAACTTCCCAACACCTTTCTACTAGGAGTTCCTTCTCCTTTTGCCTTTCCAGACTAGTAACATTTGTAGTATAAACTCCTTATCTCTTCCTAAGCCTTTCCTAAGAATGTAGCTTAATTACAAAGAAAGAACTAGTTTTCTTAGTATGAAAAGCATCCTTCATGCTCCCTGTGAACTCCTATTTGTACAAAGTTACCCTTACCTCTCAAGGAGTGAATATGATTAAGTATTCATTCCCTACTTTCTCTAGTTTGGCTGGCTGATTTTACTGCATTGCCAATTGATTTATTAATTCTTCAGTTTTTAAATGAGATTCGTGTGTTAATTTTCTAACAGTAATTTTCCTCCTTTAACATACTAGTCCCTTTTTGCAAATCAAGTGCCCCACAGATTTCAGATTGTCCAATGAGAAGTGGATACTGATCAGGGTACCAAGAAAACACTTGTGTGCAGTCTGAATGAGAAGTAACCACCTTTTTGAAATGCGTGTTTCAAATTCAGCAGATACCGTGGGTGTAGATGTATGGTGTATGATGCCTGAGTGACAGGCAACATGATGAGTCTTGCGTTGCAACAGCAGCTCTGGCAGAAGCTGTCCTTTGGAGTCTGTTTTATCTATTTGACAATGCATTTCACAGTGTTACACCATAGAGAAATCTCTTGAAAAGGTGAAATGTTCCTGTAATTTAAAATCACCCCACACCAATGTTTGCTGCATGCCTTAGACGGCTGCTGTCTGAGACATACCTGCTCTGTAGCATCCCGCAGCAGATCTATTCTCACACATGATGATAGTTGACTTTTCATTGATTTCCAGATGAAAACAAAAAAATAATCAGGACAGATGCTGATAATGTCAGAAGTACTTTTAGGAAACTCTTGGTTTTTTCTCTCCAAATAGTTCCATCATGGGCTCGCTCAAACTCTACATTTTAAATGATGCTGCAAAACCTTCGTGCACATACCTGAATGAGAGGTTTCCTGTTCCTGGAGCAACTGTTGGGTTTGGTTTGCATAACTTCTATTAAAAAGGAAAATCAGTGTGCAGTGAACAGTGACAGAAATGTGCAGATTTTTATTTAGACTGCTATAAAAAGTGCTAAAAGCCTGGAGCTCAGCCTGCTAGTCAGGGCCCAAAGGACCGATTAGGATGGAAATACTGCTTTCTTACTCCATTTCTGTCAGAGACTCAGGTACCTGGGGTAAAACCTTCATCCTTCCAATGTTTCGTTATTTTTAAATGAAGACAACGCCTGTCTGTCTACCTGCCTGACAGTCTGAAACATGCTTGATTTGCAAAGTACTCGACAGATGAGAAATGCAAATATTTGACTCATTCAGAGACAATGACAGTGTTTTATAGGGGCTGATGACGACGTTTTCGAAGTCTGAAGATGCACGCTCCTTTTAATGTGATGGGAACACAGAATGGATGCCACTGTATTGCTGCCAAAGAGCACAGGCACAAACAATTCTTTCATTCCAGTTTACTCAATAGCACTGATAAAAAAAGGTGCAGGTCTTTTTGAAGCTTTGGGTTTTTCATTATGTTAAAGACCTAAGAGTGCCTGCCCTTGGGGAACTGTACGTGATGCTTTCGGGTCTTTGATTATGGCCAGCCTTTTCCTTGGAGTGTCTTCCACCGCCAGACTCCAACTAGGCAGGAGTGCGGTAGGTTGGGAATTACCACAATAGAATGCACAGAATCAGCCAGCTGGTTACCTGGTGTGATAGTGTGGTGGTGTCTGTTTGAGAGGCTTGTAGGCCGTTTTACCAGTTGGATCCCTGTCCTACTCTGCCCGGAGTCTAGTCTAGTTTCCTGTACCTCAGCATCCACCCTCTCCCTTAACTGCTAGAATATCCGTAATATTGCTAAGCCTTACATTATGTTGTACAGCAAAAAGGAAGAAAAGAAAGAGGTTAAAGAGGAAAAGAAGGAGGAAAAGAAAGAGGAAAAGAAGGAGGAAAAGAAAGAGGAAAAGAAAGATGACAAAAAAGATGACAAAAAAGATGATAAAAAAAAAGAAGAGTAAGTATAAAGAAGGAATGTGTGCTTGTAACACACCTCCTACACTACAGAGCATGGTACGGCATTTCAGCGTAACACTTCCACAGCACTTGGTGTTCTGCAGAGTGTTAGCCTGTAACAGTAATCTTTACTACCTTTTCCCCTTCGGAAAGGTGCAACTGCTCCACAAACTTGTTGCATCTTTAAGATCTGTGTTTGGACCTGACACGAAGAGTTTCCTAGGTCAGTAAAAGGGAATTCAGCTACCTCTGGTCACAGAGATTTGCTGTTGAAGATCACTTTTTTACTATGAGGGCATTTTAGGATAGCAGCCTGCTTTGCAGATCTTCACAGGCTTTCCCTTGTTCCAGAATGTTCATATGGATTCATATGGATCTTGACTCTCTTAATCAAAGCTTTGTTTGATTAGAAAACCTTTGTTCTAAGGATTCTGTTTGAGCTCAAATTACTGTGTAGTGAGAGCCTGAGCTTTGCAGTAGTCTGAAGCATTTAAAAACATTTCTGCAAATTAAATAAATGTTTTAATGTCTGCAAGGTAGTGTACTCTGTCATATGAAGACCACATTTCATGGTCACCAGTTTTGAGGTGGTGACTGATTTTTTAGAAGAAATGGCTCAAAACCTGTTGTGAAGATGGCAGAGTAAATACTTTTTAGATTAAAGCTGCTTCCTTTACTAACATTATCATCTGGGCATTTAGCTGACAGCAGGGATAATGGCAGGAAGGCACACATATATGAAATGAATTGTCATTGCATTTTACTATGTTTACATTCTTGGAGATTAGGAACAGTCACACAAATACATACCCAAGCATTGCCCGGTCACATATTCCCCACACTATTACACTGCTCACAGCTCACACTGTCACATGTTACTGTTGGAATAACTTCTGTAGCTGTGTACCTCACAGTCCACTAACACACATTTCCTCTGGTTACACACAACATGCTGCCTAATTGCTCTCTATTCCATATCAGCCTTTCTCGTGCTGGGGAAGGGCACTTCTGAGCATATTCTACATCTGCTTAGCCATGCTGTTCTTTAAATCTTCGTTAAATTCCAGGCCTGTACGCTTCATTTAGCATCTCTTCATTGTCATGAGGCCTAGGGAGCCAGGACTGTAGATGTGTCAAATTTCCTTTTAGATAATAATGCATGTCTTAGGTCTAGTCACACAGTGTATGTGTGTGCACACACACAGTCCTACTTGTAGAAACGTGTTTGAATACATATGTGTTTTCCTTGTTGAAATGTGTGCTCATACAGTCATTTCCATGAAAGGATTTTCCAAAACCATCAAAATCAATCTGCAAAGGAAGGCTCTTCCTCCAGCAACGGGCCATAGCCACCTAGCTGAAATGATAATAAGAAGCATTTAATGTTTTACTTCCTTTCAATGAGGGTCATAGGCAGAAAGGCTGTGGTTTTCAGCCTGGGCACTGTGAATGTCTGTGTTTTTCTTCCCACTTCTACTTACTTTTTCCAAAGTTGGGTCAAGCATATAAATAGAGCATGTCAGATGGGATGAAGCTAATACGTGGTATCTCATCTGGAGCTGCCTGCATGGATACTTTCTCTTCTTAGCTGTGAGTTCATCATGAGATGAGCAGCTTCCAGAAGCGGGAGATCCAGCAGGTCACTTCTTTACATTTCCAGTGTAAACCCGCACGTTTTACTTTCCAGGAAGAAAAAAGACATCTTTGTGATAGATCCTTCAAGCAATATTTACTACAACTGGCTGACCATAATTGCAGCACCCGTGTTCTATAACTGGTGTATGCTGGTGTGCAGGTATGGGTTTAAGTTAGTAATCATTTTAAGTTTCAGCTTTAGTGTCTCATTATGTTTTCAGTGTAAATCATCCTCCTATCTCCCTGCGGTATTTTTTTGGGTGGCTTACCTAAAGGATTCACAGTTTGTATACCCTTAGGGATATACGATACACATGGCACTGGGAAGAGATGGCCAATGTTTTTTTTTTTTGGTCTAAAACTGATTTGTTGTGACCTGCCACAACATCCCCCTGAGCACTGGCTGTGGCCTTTGTGTGCCACGTACTGGCTGGCTGGGCCTTGGCCACAGTGGGCTCGGTAACCACTGCTAGAGAGAAGTCTTCTGCCACCCAGTAGAGAACAGAAGGGAGGGGTGCCAGCGGTGTTGGATCATCTTTGATTAATGTCATACATCCACAGATGCTTGCAGGGCAGGAGAATTTTACTCAGATATTTACTTTCCCTTGTAAAGGGTGGCAGTCAATTTGAGCCAGAGTAATGGAGTGCTGTGGAAATGGTTCACTTAGGCAGTGTCACATGGCAGGGAGAGATGAGGATGGCTTGCTACTCAGAAATTAATCTTGTGTTTGGGAATTATCTCAATGGAGATGTGTATCTCATGAAATCTGCTGCATGTGTAACTGTAGGGATATGCGTATTCCTCCGCAAGTGTGCTTGTGTGGCATGTATGTGTGAGTTTTGTTCCTGGCCTGAATGCCTTTGAATTCTGAAAGATCCTAGTGCCTGTTCAGACATAGTTCTAGTGTGCAGATGTCTAGGCACAGAGATAAGCTGCCTGTAATTTTTCAGTGCCAGTAATGTCCACTAACAAGCTGCTAGGACACATACTGCAAGTACTCTACTTACGCAGTCGGTGTAATGGTTTTTTTTTTTTCCTGTTACCTTTGTTTCTTTAGAGCCTGCTTTGATGAGCTACAAGGTGACCATATTAAATTGTGGCTGTTCTTGGATTATGGCTCTGATATCATCTATATTCTTGACATGTTTGTCAGATTCAGAACAGGTGAGTCTTTCTGGGGTTTTACCGTGTTTTCAGATACAGCATGGATATAAAGGCTGGAAACAGGAATTCCCCTCTGGGGTCTGACCAGTGTAGTATCCTGTCTCCAGCAGAGCCCAACAGTGGAGGCTTTGGGAAGATGAAATGCCTGACCAGCTTGGATTGTTTTAAGGCTGGATATCCCAACACCTGCAGTGCACCTGTCCCTAAATTCGGTTCTATCCGGGCTGAATAGGCAGCCAAACACTGACTGAACAGCCGCTCTAACAGGCTGCGCGGGGAGGGGAGGATAAGGCACTCTGCGTGCTGAGATCACTCTGTGCATGACACAGCGCTGGTGCTCTTTACACTGGGCAAGACACCAGCTACAGCCCACAGTTGCTGCTTTCGTAGTGGTGCAGCATCCTGCTCAGAGGTGATGACTGAGTTGGTCAAGTGCGAGCCCTTGGCACTCACCTCGGCCTCCGGCCTGCAGCAACAAAGCAGCAGTGCTGTCCCTCTGCCTCCAGCTGCGGGACTCCGCAGGGTCCTGGTTGAGCCTCCCACTGCCTGGTAGTGGTACAAGGTTAGCCCAGGAGGGCAGTGGCATGGGATTAACCCAGGCACCTCTGCTTGTGTCCTGCCTTCCCGAAGGAAATGTGACCCTAAGGGATCTGTGAGGATTGTGCCATGTCATGCCTGAAGTGGTTCTCTTCAGCTCCCCGTCCCTGTTTCTGCAGTCCAGACAGGCTGAGATTTCATATTTAAGCATGCCCAGCTGATACAGTTTCTACCCCAAAAGGGATGTCTGTTTTAAACTAAACAAGGTCATAATACAGGCCTAAGCAATGCCATACCGTGATCCCCACCATTAAATTTCTGGAATGTTCCTTGATATGCTTTGGTGCATGCACTTTGGTCTGTGCCAGCGAGTGCTCTCCCAGGCAGGGTCTGGGCACAGCAGAGGTTGGGTAGTGTTGGTGGTGTCATCATCAGTGTGTTATTGGACCCTTTCAAGGGACATTTTGGGGATGTGTCCATACCAGTAAATAGAACAATCCAGGAAACATTTTCCGATCCTGAGACCACCTGCATTGTTCTATTTACTGGTATGGACACATCCCCAAAATGTCCCTTGAAAGGGTCCAATAACACACTGATCATTATAAAAATGAGAGTTCTTTTATATATTTGATACTTTTTTTTTTTAAATCCTGCTGACAGCTTGAAATTAATTATGGCTTGTGACAAGTTGTAAACATAATTACAAGGCAGAGGCTAAAGATACTGTCACATTGGGAAGCACACAACTCCTGGCAAGCCAATTTCTTCAACTTAGCAAATAGCTTGCTCAACAGGGAAGTCCGTTTCAGACAGCAGCCTAAATCACACGACTGCTGTGTTTGGGGTGGGGTGGGCTTCATCTTCTTTGAGTAGTTAAAATGCCGACTGCGCCAACTAAATTTCTCTTCTGCAGTCCTATCTGGAATTGTAATGGGAAAGAACTTAGCAGAAATGGGGCATGTCCAGGCAATGCAAGTTATAAATTTCCCATGGACTGTCCTGATAATGATTGTATGGCCGTTAAAACGTGGTCAGAAGGTCGGCCTTGCAAGCTGGGACAGAACTCTTCAGTGCAGGTGTCTGCTGCAGTTTCAGGCACTCAGATCAGGGAAGTCGCTCCTCTTAGGTGCTGAAATCTTTACCAAGCCTCTTAACAACCGCTCCTGGCTCTGCCTGTGCCTGCTGCCTTATCCTGTAAGCCTGCAAGGTTCAGCTGCCCTGGGGACAGAGGTCCTGGAAGCCTTTGGGGAAGAGTGTGACTCCTTGCTGTCGAAGGGCGGGACTGGCTTTGAATAGGGATCCACCTCAGCTCCTCTGTGGTGCGTTCCTGGTCCAGCTGCGGGGCCAGTTTCACCGTATTTAACCCTTCTGGGGACTGGACACGGTGAAGCAGAAAAGATCCATGTCTCAGCAGCTGATGGTGTTTAGCATACCCCCAGTTTTGATGCTTTCAATAGGTTTTACTGTAGGACTTCAGTTCTGTGAGGGGACAAAAAATAGCCCTTTAATCTCCCTTCAGGAGAAAGGTGTTTTCAAAGTTATTTTTAATAACTGTGAGTCAGAAATTCATCTGCCTGGACAACTTTTCTGTCTAGTTGCGTAACTCTGTTAATAAGGGCTTATCTGACCAGCTTTTTCAGCAGTTTTCTGGGAGGTGACACATTCATGGCACAGGAACTTCTTCCATTTGTAGCCACCATCAGTTTGCAGATGCCTGAAGACAGAAACACACGTACACGTGAGGCAGCTGTACAGATGCTCACACATTGCAGAAACACAGCCGCGCCATGTAGGGCTTGAAGAATTGCAGCTTGGTCTTCCTCAGCAGATGCTTCCCTGGGCAAGCTGCTGCTTGTAGATTGCTGAGGGATTAGCAAAACTGGATAATCCCTGACAGACAGGGAATGTTTTCCTTCTCTTTCGGTGGCCTATTCCTCCTGACCGGCCTGGTGGGCAGACAGTTGGACATCCCTCACTTGCAATTGCAGCAAGTATTTTGCAGCATGTAGGCTGTTCCCTGCGGAACATATTCCATGCCTTGAGCTTCCAGAGGTGCAAACCAGCACTGCAGCTGTACTGCTCAGGCCCTGTGAGCCTGAGCCTCAGCCTTTCTGTGGGAACTCTTAGACAGATGCCGTTTGCGTTAAGGTCTCTTACCACAGTTTATGTCTTCTCATAATTTTTTAAGATCTAATACCTGTCAAGGTTTTTTTGAATGAAGAAATACTGATGTGCAAAGTTCTGCTTAGTAGTTCTCTCACTAGAAACAGACAAAAAGTGAAAACCGTTTTCGCCAAATGAAGAGGAAATTCCTGTCATCTTTAAGATTGGACACAAGGAAAAGGATGGCTTGGGGTAGAAGGGGACTGGATTTCTTTCTCTCAAGCGTATCTCTGTTGTTCGGAAAAGGTTTCCAACAATCCATTATACCTACTTATTCTCGGTATTTATTACAGAATATTCCACTCTGGTTTTATACACAGTTGCTTAAGGCTCGCTTAACTGTAGTTATGACTCATGCCGACGATTCATGAAAAATGAGACATTTGAATCTCCCCTTTCTTTTTTCAAAGATGCCTAAAAGATACAGCTGTCCCCGACTCGAGCGTAAAACTGCAGGGAACACTGCGGTAGTAATAGATTCATTGGTCTTTATCATCATATATCAGCTTTGAAGCTTAATTGAAATATTTAAAGTTGCAATTAAATGTTTTTCATTAAAGGAACTCATAGCGTATCAATGACTGCATGCATAACAGTACAAATTTTGGTATTTTCAGGTATCTGACATGTAAGTCAGTACTGCTGATGATGTCTTTATTCTAACAAGTGAAATACATGTTTTTATTCTTTGAAGGTTTCCTTGAACAAGGCTTGCTCGTTCAGGATGAAAAGAAATTACGAGATCATTATACCAAAACTACGCAGTTCAAACTGGATGTGCTGTCTCTTCTGCCAACAGACCTGGCATATTTGAAGCTTGGTTTGAACTACCCTGAACTGCGATTTAACCGCTTGCTGAGGATTTCTCGGCTGTTCGAGTTTTTTGACCGTACTGAAACCAGGACAAATTATCCAAACATGTTTCGTATTGGAAATCTTGTCTTATACATTCTGATCATCATCCACTGGAACGCGTGCATATACTTTGCGATTTCGAAGCTCATCGGATTTGGCACCGACTCTTGGGTCTACCCCAACGTGTCCATTCCGGAGTATGGGCGCCTGTCTAGAAAGTACATTTACAGTCTCTACTGGTCAACGCTCACGCTGACAACCATTGGAGAAACACCTCCCCCGGTGAAAGATGAAGAGTATCTCTTTGTGGTCATTGACTTCCTGGTGGGCGTGCTGATCTTCGCTACCATTGTCGGTAATGTGGGCTCCATGATTTCCAACATGAATGCCTCCAGGGCAGAGTTCCAGGCCAAGGTGGATTCCATTAAACAGTACATGCATTTCCGAAAAGTGACTAAGGATTTGGAAGCCAGGGTTATTAAGTGGTTTGATTACCTCTGGACCAACAAGAAAACAGTGGATGAGAAGGAAGTTCTCAAAAACCTGCCTGACAAGTTGAAGGCGGAAATTGCCATCAATGTCCATTTGGACACGCTGAAGAAAGTGCGCATATTCCAGGACTGTGAGGCTGGGCTTCTCATTGAGCTGGTGCTGAAACTGAAACCTACGGTCTTCAGTCCTGGGGACTACATTTGCAAAAAGGGAGATATTGGGAGAGAAATGTACATTATTAAAGAGGGAAAACTGGCCGTGGTGGCAGACGATGGCATAACCCAATTTGTAGTCCTAAGCGACGGCAGCTACTTCGGCGAAATCAGCATCCTAAACATCAAAGGTAGCAAATCCGGCAACAGGAGGACAGCCAACATAAGGAGTATTGGTTATTCTGACTTGTTCTGCTTGTCCAAAGATGATTTAATGGAAGCCCTCACAGAATATCCAGAAGCCAAAAAGGCTCTGGAAGAGAAAGGGCGACAAATTCTGATGAAAGACAATTTAATAGATGAGGAAGCAGCAAAAGCGGGAGCCGACCCAAAAGACTTGGAAGAAAAAGTAGGAAAACTTGAAACAGCTCTGGATACGCTGCAGACTAGGTTTGCGAGGCTCTTGGCAGAATACACCTCATCTCAGCAAAAGGTGAAGCAGAGACTTGCCAGGGTGGAAACCCGGGTGAAAAAATACGGTAGTGGCACCTTCTCAGTAGGAGAAGGAGAGACTGAAAAACCCGAGGAGGAGAAAAAGCAGTAATGGAGTGTTTCCTCACTTCCTGGAGAAGGTTGAAGCATGTGAAAGCCATAAATGTATGTAAATACGTGTGTGCATACATAGACATGATTATTTTTATATGAACTCAAGAGAATGGTTTTTAGCATTTTTAACTGAAGCAGTATTTTCTTGTAAATAGAACATTGTCATCTTCTTTTTAGGGAGAGATTTGGTCTGGCATTTGGGAACTTTTTTGTACGGGGTTTCTTACAAGTCATGCTCAGAACATCTGTTGTGAGTGGTACGTTTAGGTCTCGACACGTCGTCTCTTCCCATAGTTGTTGCATTAAGAAAGCATTTTACTTAAAAGTAGAAGGAATTGGGTTTTTTTAAAAGGGCTTGACAATATTTATAGGGTACTAAAACACCCAGCTACCTTAGTAGCTGATTAAATACACGGACACACTCCTGGGCTTCTCAAAATCCTCGTTCTTTCACAGGGAAGCGTCTGTGCAAACCGTGGGACTGCAGCTCTGCAGCAGCACGTGCCCGGCCTGTGCGGTCTAGCCCTGCGGGCGCATCCGGGTGCTCTGGTCCGATGCTTTCCAGCGAGCTGGGCTCCGCACAAAGGACGGCGCTGACAGAGTAGCGGTGCCCGCTCACACCCATTCTGGCACGGTCTGCGGCAGCCTGTGCTGCTCTGCAACTGCTTCGCTTGGGGAGAGAGTGGGAGATACCCTTTTTTTTTTTTTTTTTTTTTTTTTTTTTTAGGGCAGCCCCATCCACACTGATAAAACTCACATGGAAGGGAGTCCCCAAAATCTCGCTGGTGGGAGGCATCTGTGGTGATTCACTAAACTGGGGAAAAGGAAAGAGGGTCCTGGTGCAGGATTCCTGCAAGGCAGGGAGAACAAGCCCTGTGTTGCAAAGTCTTTCCTGCTACTAGGCCTATGTCTTCTTCCTCTCTGTTCCTTTTAACGATGCCTACCCCACCTCCCTTCGCTGTTTAGTGCCAGCTTTTCTCCCGAGCGGTTGTCACGCTGCCATGTTTCTGTTACTTAGGGAGGACGAAGGCCACGTTTGCCCAGGCCCTGCTGATAGGAGCCTCCTTGTGCTGGTGGCTTTTCCACTTGCTGCCGAGCAGTCGTCTCCGCGACAGCCTGGCTCTGAGGTGAATGCACAGGTCTGGTCAGCTCGGCCCGCCGTGGCCTTCAGGGCGGAACGGCAGGGAGGTGGTTTCTTGCTGTGCCATGCTACAGCCTCAGGATTTGCCTCTTACACCCCCCTCTTGGCCTCCTCCACCACCCCGGCTTCCAGTTTCTTTCCAGGCTTCTCTCCCCCCTGCTGAAGGGATTTCTTTAGTATTCTCCCACTAGGAAGATCTGAGTTTTCATTTTTTCCTGTACGGTATTTTTGTGTTGTGTGCTTTCCCTGTCTTAGCCTCGGGTACCCCACTGACTAAAGAAGAGTTTGGAGTAGCAGAGGCTGTTCAGCATCTGTGGCATGGGGGCTGGATCCTCGGCGGCATTAGGTACGGCTGTGGTCAACGCTCCGCCTTCTCGTTGTCCTCGGCCCTGACTTAGGAGCCCCAAAGAGCATGTGGGAGTAGATGGCTGTTGGAAAGTCGGTGAGGAAACCCACGGAGAAGTGGGTGGTTTAAGGAGAGGGTAGTGAAATGAAAAGGGGTGGCTGCTTCGCTAAACTGAGTACAACTGCTCCGAGTAAGCTTTCATCTCTGGGCACGCGGGTGTCCCCTCACAATGACACTTCTCAGCCTGGTGAGAGAGACATCGGATGGCAACAGGATCTGGCTACAAGGGCTTTGGAAAGCAGCCGAGACCTGCACCTGGCCAGCACTTTTCAGGAGTTTTGGTCCTTCGGCTGAATCTTGTCTCTGTTCTCTCCAAGGGCTCGAGCCGTATGGGTAGGGGGGCGGTAAGAGAGGCTGCGTTTGGCCGGGGGCCAGCACCCTCGCTCTCCCGCGGAGGAAGGCAGGGCCGAGGTGGGGCTGGGTGTTGGCTACTCGCAGCGAAGCGCTGCAAGCACAGACGCTGCCGTCGCAGGCTGCGGGACTTGCACCTCTCGCCAGGTAACAGAGGCAGGCAACGCGCTCGCTGGGGGCTGACGGTCATGGTCATGTTACCCAAACACCACATCTGGTAGGGGTTTCACGCTTACCCTCGTGTCCGACATCAGTCATCCTCCTCTGTAAATACCTGTCACCTACCCATCATACTACTGCTGCTCCAGCCCGCTAGGGATATCCAAGTAGAACTGTTCCAAGTATTACATACACCAAATTTACACCTGCTACAGACCTGCCACAAACACCAGAATGCTTCTTTACCTGATGGATCAGAACAGCTTCATCAGTTAAATACATATTTGCTCCTCCCTTTTCCACGCCTCTTGGGCTGGTTTTCACATGCTAGAAAAAAAGAGCTATTTTTATTTCAGCCACTTCGAAATATATAGCTCTATGGCACGATGAAATCGCATCCTTCGCCATCTTCATCTCCGTAAGGTGTTTTTTCCCCCTTTTATGTGGCTACAGCATGTACATTAAAATATTCTGAGTAACGGTCAAGCAGCTCTGTGTTTTCTCTCATCCATATCCCCCTGGAATTTAGCTTTTCACGACAGGCTTTGATAATGCTGATACTACACGGCCCAGAAAACAGATCTGGAACACAGATCCAAAGTGACAGAAACCCAAGTGGGAATGGCGGCGTTCTCCCCTCTCCGCAGGGCAGCTGGCACGTGGCCTTGGTCCCATGCCCAGGTTCAGCACCGTCGCTGTGCTTGCAGATGCCACAGAGGCACGAGACCCTGACCACTCCCCTGCCCTTGTGGGGCACAGCGCCTCCTGCCCCAGCTCCAGGCAGGGAGGCACAGTGGGGATGGTGCCTTTTTGGCAGCTTTCTGCTACCTGCATACACATCACCTACAAAAAAAAAAAAAACTGCCAAGCAACATTCTATGCCCAGCATAGAATCACAGAACGATTTGGGT